GTCAGATCACAGACAATCTGATCCAGTGTTCCCTGTCAGCTCAGGCATGAGTATGAACCAGAAGTGGTCTGCGCTGGTGGCGTGATCATAGACCACTTGATCCTGTGATTCCAGGGAGTTCAGGGTGAAGGTAGAGCCCAGATATGGACTGCAAGGTCTGAAGTTTTTGGACTGCCTGATTCTGTGTCTGTAGGCCTTTCACCGCAAGCACAGGAGCCAGAGGTGGGCTGCACTGGCAGTGATCACAGACCACCTGTTTTTGTGTTCCCACCCAGACCCGAACAGTAGAACCCAGTTGTGAATCACGGCTTCAGCAGTTTTGTGGACTGCCTGCTCTGGTGCTTCATGTGTCACTGGGCATGTGCGGGGGTGCCCTTTGCACACCCTGGTGTTAATAATTTTGTGGGTCCCTTGAGATAATCTCCTGTGTATTCCAGGCACATGGAGGGTGGAGACACAGACTGCAATGGTGGCAGCCTTCTGGGATGCCTGCTCTGTTCCCAGGAAGTAGATGGGGGTACTATCTGGTTCTCACGGTGTTCAGCTGTGAAGTGTGATGTGAGTGGAATGTGGGCCTTCTGCTTCTGTGCCTGCTGACCACTCACAGCATGCACAGGACACACACATGGGCTGTGCTGGTAGAGATCAGGAACTGCCTGCTTCTGGGCTCCTGCCCAGTTGCAAACCTATGTATGAAATTTTTAGAGTGGAAATAAGCATTTCAGAAAAAACAAGAAGGAAAAGTTCAGGAACTTTTTACCTAGAAGAAAACACATAGCAAAAATAAATTGAGTAATTTCTAATGGAAACAAAGGTTTGATACTGACTATATTTTGGAATAATGTAACACTTAGAAACATTAGATTATAATTTTAAATTTTATTACATTTTAACTTTCAAAAAATAAAAATAAATGGAAACAACATAACTGGACTCCTCCCTTCCTCCATTGCCACGGGATGGCAGAGCTGGTGAGAGGAGTGTGAGTTTGGCTCCTCCCATCCTGCACTGACCCAGGATGCACAGATGGCAAGAGAAGTCTGAGATCTGCCTCTCTCTCCCTCCCCACTGGTGGGACTCAGGGCCTGGAGACCTGCAGGAATGCCAGCAACACAGTAGGACCCTGGCTAAGGCACACAGAATGGATGGATGGAACTAGAGGTATGGAAATATCCCCATGGACCATTAGCAATACAGGTGATCTCTAAACTTTCTTTTTGTTTTATTCTACTCATCCTCTTTCTCTCTTTTGTCAGCTATCTCACTTGGCTTTATGGTACTTTCATGTGAGTAAACATTGTCTTTTCTCTTTCAGGTTCACTTCAAAACTCCTAAGCCTTCTCTTCCAATCCTTCCCTCCTGTTTCTTACAATTACTCAAAACCTGGATGACCATCGTGTGCCCTCCAAACTTGCTCCTACTATATTTAGCCTCATCCATTTCTCCATCCTACTCCATATCCTCCTGAACCCAGCCCCTACACACAACAGGGTGAAATCACTCCACTAAGTGGAAAACCATTGCACACAGTTCTTGATATGTTACATTTCTATAGACCAAATTCTATAGACCAAATAGATATGTTACATTTCTGGGGTTATAGATATCAGGCTAAAAGTTACCACAGTTTGCCAGTAGCCAGGCTGTACTTGAGTCTATTATTATTGCCAACTAAAGTACGTTAGCCAGGATGTCATACATGCTCTAGCCAGTTTTTCCCCCTGTATGACAGTGCTGAGGTTGTAAGGGGTCATAACCATCACTATAGTCCAGTACCAAAGGAATGGGTTCTAAGTCACATTGATAGCAACTCATCAGACTTAATATATTGGGAAGGTAGGTTCTTGGGATAGACATCAAAACCAAGAACCACCTACATCTAGAAGACATCTGGAGGAGCAGACACCTCCTAAGAAAGCCTCAACATCAGTGATAAGTGTATCTAATAAGAAACCTACAAGCATCAACAGAGAAAAAAAATAAAATAGAAAATGACAAGATAAAGAAGCAAATGCAATCCCAAATGCCCAACCCACCCAGGAAAGTCCAGAGCACAAGGAGATAGAGGGAATCAGAAGCTGACAAATGGAACTCTGAAATAATAGTGGCAGAAGTGAAAAACAAATGGAAGATATGATAGAAAAATAGTTTCTAAGGTACAAGAAGAAATGACTGTCAAAGTGAAATGCATTAAAGCAGACACAGATAACAAATAGAAGAGCTTGGGAAAATGATGGAAACCATGAATGCCAAACACAGGCAAGAAATGGAATCAAGGAAACAGAACCAAATGAATGTAGGAGATTAGGTTTCCATTGGAATTATATGCAGCAGATTGAATGAAGGTGAAGATAGAATATCAGATCTAGAGGACAGGAACATGACTAGCTAGCAGGAAAATAAAGATACCTTAAAAATCACAAGAGACCACAAAAAAAATCAATCCAAAAGCTACAGGGTGAAGCAGAAAAGAACAACATAAGATTAATTGGAATAAATGAGTAAGCTGGAGGCTGCACAAAAGTGATCTAAAAACTCTTCACAGAAATAATGGCAGAAAACTACCCAAACATGGATAAAGAATTTGACATACAAATAAATGAAACATATAGAACTCCAAATAGCCACAACCAAAATAAATGTACACCAAGGCATATAATAATCAAGATGCCAAAAGTTAAGCACAAGAACAAAAATATTAAAAGCAGGTAGATAAAAGAAACATATCATATATAAAGGAAAGCCCATCAGAATCACAGCAGACTTCTCAACACAAACCCTTAAATCAAGGAGAGCTTGGAGTCAGGAATTTCAGACCCTAAAGGAAAGCAAATTTCAACCCGGATTGATGTACCCTGCAAAACTATGTTTCAAAATTGATGGAGAAATAACACTCCCATGACAGAACAGTTGAAGAAATTTATGACTACCAAACCAGCTCTATAGAATGCTCTGAAGAACATATTAGAAAGAGGTAACAAAGACCACAAACACATGAACACCAATAGAAAGAAGCCCCCAGGCAGGTCAAGCAGTTAAACAGAGGAGAAAGACAGGGAACAAACAACAGGAAAACAACATGAAAAAGAAAGGCCAATACATGTCATTTATAACCATCAATGTAAATGGTCTCAACTCACCAATCAAAAGAAACAGACTGGCAGAATAAATCATGAAGCAAGTTCCAACAATATGTTCCATTCAAGAAAGACATTTAACTCAAAAAGAAATTCATAGACTAAAAATCAAAGATGGAAAACAATTCTCCATGCCATAGGAATCCAGAAAAAAGCAGAGGTAGCTATTCTGTTTGCAGACAATGCAAAATTTATGCCAAAACTGATCAAAAGAGATAAACTTGCTACATACTTGTTTAGGAAAACTCCAAGAAAAAGAAATTGCAATCATAAATATTTATGCACCAAACTACAGCACACCTAACTACATGAAACAAATACTAACAAATGTGAAAAACAAAATAAGCAATAACACAATTGTAGTGGTGGAGTACACTCTCACAAACAGATCAACTAGAAAAAAAAAATCAACAAATAAATATTAGAATTAAACCAAGCCTGAACAAACCTGTGCATACTATCTGACCATAGTGCAATGAAACTGGAAGTCAACAACAAAGGAAAACAGGAAAACTACATAAACACATGGAAATTAAACAGCATACTTCTGAACAACCAACAGATCACAGAAAATTAAAGATGAAATTAAACAGCATGTACAATTAAACATTAATGCTGATACAACATACTGAAACTTATAGGGCACAATGAAAGCAGTCCTAGCAATGAACACACACATTAGAAAAGTAGAATGAGCTCAAATAAACAACCTAATGTTAAACCTCAGACTTTTAGAAAAATAACAAATCAAACCAACAGCTCATATGAGGGAGGAAAATATAAAGAGCAGAAATTAATGCACTAGAGACTTAAGAAAACAATACAAAGAATCAGTGAATTGCATAGTTGGCTCTTTGAAAGATTAAAGAAAATTGATAAACTATTACCCAACCTCATCAAAAAGAGGAAAGAAAAAACCCAAATTCAAGCAATTAGGAATGAAAAGGGGGAAGTCACAATGGATCCCACAAAAATCTACCATCAATACCTACTATGAGAACCTATGTCCTAATAAGATGGAAAACAAAAGAAATGGACAGATTCCTAGACACAACCAAATTGCCAAAACTAAACCAAAAAGATATGAAAGTTCTAACTCTATATCAGCCGATGAAATTGAAAATGTAATTACAAATTTACCATTAGAGAAAATCCTAGGCCCTGCCAGAAATTTAGAGAAGAACTAATGCTAAAACTTTTTCAACTGAAAGGGAAGCAGGACTTCCAAAATCATTCCTGGAAGCAAGTATTATCCTGATTCCAAACCCAGAGAAGAATGCAACTGAAAAAGAAAGCCATAGGCCAATCTCCCTAATGAACACAGATGCAAAAATCCTGGCAAACAGAATGCAGCAAATCATCAAAAAGATTATACATGATGACCAAATAGAATTTATCCCAGGAATGCAGGGATGGTTCAACATACACAAATCAATAAATGTAATACACCATATTAACAGAACAAAGACAAAAATCACATAATCATTTCAATAGATTCAGAAAAACACTTGACAAAGTCCAACACCCATTCATTGTAAAAACTCTAGAGAAAATTGGTATAGTTGGTCTTTACCTCCATCTTATAAAAGCCATCTATGATAAACCAATAGCTAACACCATATTAAATGGTCAAAAGCTGAAATGTTTCACTCTGAAATCAGGAAGAAGGCAAGGATGTCTATCACCACTCCTATTCAATATAGTTGTGGAAACATTAGTCACAGCAATTATACAGTAGAAAAAAAAAATAAAAGGAATAAAGATAAGAAAGGAAAAAGTTAAATTATCATTATTAGCAGATGATATGATACACTACATAGAAGACCTTAAAAATTTCACTAAAAACCTTGTAGATTTAATATCCAAATTCATTGGTATAGCCAGATAAAGTCAGCACTCAAAAAATCAACAGCATTTCTGTACACAAGCAACAAAGTCAGAGAGAGAAGTTAGGCAAAGCACATTCTCCATGATAGCAGCTAAAAGAATGAAATACTCAGGAATCAATCTAACAAAGGATGAAAAAGATTGCTACAGTGAAAATTACAGTACCCTAAAAAAGGAGATTGAAGAGGATATCAGAAAATAGAAAGATATCCCTTGCTCTTGGATAGGAAGAACCAACATTGTGAGAATAGCCATACTCTCAAAACTGCTATACACATTTAATGCAATCCTTATCAAAATATCATTAGCATACCTCACAGATCTAGAGAAAACACTCCTAAAATTCATTTGGAACGAGAAGAGACCTAGAAGAGCAAAAGCAATCCTGGGCAACAAAGGCAAGCAGGGGGCACCACAATCCCAGGCCTGAAATTATACTACAAAGTTACTGTTATAAAATCAGCATGATATTGGCAAGGAAACAGAGCTGAGAATCAGTGGAACAGATTAGAGGATGGAAATGCAACCCCAAACACAGCCAGCTTATCTTTGACAAAGGAGCCAAATATGTTCACTGGAAAAAACATAGTCTCTTTAATAAATGGTGCTAGAAAACCTGGCTCTCCACATGCTGAAGACTAAAACTAGACCCATGTCTATCACCATGCACTAAACTAAAGTAAAAATGGATCAAAAATATAAATATTAAAACAGAAACACTAAATCTATTGGAAGAGAAAGTAGGAATCTTGAAGACATAGGTGTAGGGAGAGACTTCATGAACAAAACCTAGACTGCACAGGAAATATTACAAAGAATCAACAAATGAGATCTCACCTTATTAAAAAGCTTTTACACAACAAAAGAAATCAGCAACAGAGTGAAAAGACAACCCACAGAGTGGGCAAAAATTATAGCCAGTTGTCCCTCAGACAAAGGACTTCTACGTAGAACAAATAAAGAAATGAAAAAAATTAGACCCTCCAAAATTCAAAGACCAAATCCAAAAATGGGCATCTGTGATGAATACACACTTCCCATATGAAGAAATACAAATGCGAAATAAATACATGAAAACATGTTCAACATCATTGGTCATTTGAGAGATGCAAATTAAAACAACACTGAGATTCCATGTCATCCCATAAAGAATGGCTATCATCAAGAAATCAACCAATAATAAATGCTGCAGGGGCTGTGGGGAAAAAAGGAACCCTTCTCCTCTGTTGGTGGGAGTGTAGACTGGTGCACCTGCTGTGGAAATCAGTTTGGAGATTCCTAAAAAATCTAGGATTAGAGGTCCCATTTGACCCAGCTATTCCTCTTCTGACTATCTTTCCAGAAGAATTAAAAACATCATACCACAGTGATACATGTGCACCCATGTTTACAGCAGCACAATTTGTAATAGCTAAATTGTAGAAACAACCTAAATTCCCATAAACTGAGGAATGAGGTTTTTTTTTTTTAATACAATGGAGTACTGCTCAGCCAAAAAGATGGAAAAACTGGAGATTTTTATAGGTAAATGGATACAAGTTGAGACCATACTCATAAGTGGAATAAATCAGATCCATATGTGTAAACATTGTATTGTCTCACTAGTGTGAGGAACTGAACAAGTAAATAAGACCCAAAATGTACAGTAGATATTATGAATTGGAAAGAAACTGTTCAAAGGAAGATAAACTAATAGTAGAAAGGGGAAAGGAAGAAAGGGAAATAGAAAAAAAAAATATATATATTTATACACAAGATAGTTAAAAAGTTGTACAGCTGGTTTCTCTTGGTTCCTTGAAAAGTTTGTGCTAATATTGTTTGGACAAGATATCATGCCTGTATCCTGTACTCTAAATAACTAATACAAAGACAACAATACATAATGTATTAATTATTGTAACTCTCCTAATAATGTGTTTTGAAACCCTTTTATTTTTTTTTCTTTAAAGTAAAATTTTTAAAAAAATGTAACTGGAGAAGTTAGACAATGAAATCATTTTGTGTACATTCCTGTATGTATTGTAATCTCCCTGTAAAGCTCTTACATGAACTATAAGGGATTGTAGTTTAGAATTCAGCAGTGTTATATTTATTTTATATTACAGTGTTTAAAAATGAAGTCAAGAAGCAGAATATGCCTACAAATCTGAGGTTGAATGGATGTGGCCTAAGAATTCCAGGTAATAAAAAAAGACCAACTTTTGAAAAGCTAGTAAATAGATATCCTTGTTTTATTTTATAAAATATGAAGATGGAAACTGTACTACTTACATGCAAATTTCTTCAGAGTCACCATTACATTCATCTTCTTTAGAGGTAAGTACAGACATGATGTCTTGCAGGTTAGTAATAGAACATTGTCAATATTTTTTTGGATATTAAATCTGGATCTAGATTCTTAGAAATGCATACAGTCCCCTGATGTGTGTCAAGATATTCTGTCCTCAAATGTAGTAAAATAGGTTGGAGACTGGATTTTTTGTCTCTTTCCAATGTGTTCTAGTTCTGATTATGACAGTCAGTACATGCTGTCCTTGGATTTTTCTTAATCACTTTGAGGTAAAAAACATAGGTATTTATATCCTTGCTAGAGGCATTCTCTTCCTCATGATGGTATATTGCAGTACAATTCTAATGCTAAGCATCCCATCTTAGCATCTGACTCCACAGATTTAAGGGCATGGTTCCCTGTAAGGCTGCCCTCATTTGAGATACCAGGTTAAAATTTGGGGTCTTAATGCCACTTGTACTTCTGACCAAATGGGTAAAAATTGAAGAGGGCTTCTACAGAAATACTCCTACAAGAAAGCTGAAAATTAGTGTTTGATTAACAAAGACACAAATGAGTACTTACCAGATGGCAGACACAAAGGACAAAGATTGGGAGGGCCTGGACTCATAGCTTCTGTGACCTTTCCCCAAGTAATCACTGTACATCAAACTTCTGGCCCACTAGTTTGTTGAGTAACCAGGAAGTTCCCTCACACTCTACCGGCCAGAAGTTTCATTGGAGTTGCACTGTGTAAGCATGGCTGACCAAATCATTGTCCACATAATGTAATCTCCATGCTCCCTTCCCTCCCTGTATGTCAGGAGGTTGGGATGATGTCTCAAGGTTCCAAGCCTCCGTTTTCTCATAACACTTGGTCACTGCCCACCCTGAAGCTGTACAGGGATCTACTGTGCATCATTTCATTAGGAAGACCTCCAGAACGCCCATGAATAACAAAGATACTTCTGTTACCTCATGAAATTCCAAGGATTTAGAAATACATTCTGCGAAAAGAGGACAAAGACCAGTCAAATTATTATACAAATAGTGTGATACAAGTCTCTTTCTTAAAAAAAGTTATTTAATACAATAGTTTTTGTACTCATGTATACACAATCAATGAGTCCCACATTATGCTTGTTTTATTTTGGGTATCTGGAAGCATATAACTACCTTTTCCTCCAATCTATTTTCTTCCTCTCTTTATCTCTTTGGATTAGGAAGTAATTTAATGTTCTAATGTTGATAATTTTACTTTTCTAAGAAAACTGAATCAATATAGATTTTTTTCTTGGCAAAGCCTAAAAGATTGAGGCTAAGTACAGTTTCTAATTTGATAAAGATAAAAAGCATCTCCTTTTGGTGATTCTACATTTCTCTTACTATTCACTGACTTCAAATGCATAGTCATTGTGAATGCTACTGTGGATCATAGCAAGTGGTATTGTTAGAGTCATCAGAGTTCAAGGTCAGGGTTGTTTTGACTTTATTTTCTCTCTCTGCATGTTTTAAGAAAGAGAGACACTTTTGAGAAATGTATGTCTTGGTTACTTTTCTGTCATTGCTGAGACAAAATAGCTGACACCCAGAATTAAGGAAGGAAAGGTTTATTTAGCTCACAGTTTGTGGAGTTTTCAGTGCATACTCAGCTGGCTCCAAGGCAGAGTGGCACATGGCAGAGGGCAACAGTTCGCGGCAGCGGAAAGTAGCAAAAGCAGCAAGAGTGAAAAGGGAGGAGCAGCAGAGAGCAAGCCTCTTTCCCTCCCTTACATTGTACGTAGGCTGCCTGCCCTAGGGTGGTTGTAGCACTCACACCTATAATCCCAATATTGGACCATGAGTCAATCAAAAGTAGATTGACTAGAAGCCCACCCTATGACTTCATGGGGCTTTAGGGAGACATCTAGACACAAATCATAATAATAGGCCTCATGCTTTTAATGTTTAAAGTCTACTAGAGGAATGGACTGATAAGATCAAATGATTGCTTGAGTTTGATTGTAGCTTGTAAAGTTACATATAGCCTAAAACTAGAGCCTACAGCCTCTGAGTTATTATCTAGTTAAAAAAATACTGACAAATTTGATTATTTTTAAGTCTGGTTGGGTCCCATACCTGATTCATTTTACTACATTCTGTTGCCTCAGGTTGAGTTGTCATTGTTCACTTTTAAAGGGAAATTTAAAAGAAGGAACACTATACAGATATATAAAAGTCATAGTTTATCATGGAATTTTTTAACCTAAAAGGAACCGTAGTAAGATTTAAAAATATGCAAAAAGCATCTCTATAAACCATTTTCTAATTGTCACCACCAGGTGTTTTCTCTTGATCATAGCTGTATGGTAGTAATGTGTGCCTTTAGGGTTTGTGGAGTTTTCGAAGTCTGAAATATGCCACATGCTGTGTACTGTGCAGTATGTGAGGAAACCATGATAAGCCTTGATGATAGCCATAGGACACGTTACACACACTGGTTATGCAAAGCCTTTTAAACAGGATAACAAATACTTTACACCTATAATCCTTGCAGGGCTTTTGATAAGAATTGGAAAGAAGGAGATGTACTAGATACTGAAATGATTTGTTACTAGTGAGCAGAATCAATCTATTATTTAGAGTGCTGTTTTACTTTGGCCCTCCCCAAAATTCCACTGAATCCCTATGAAAATATAGTTATCAAAGGTGTGAGAACTAATTCTCAATGGAACAGTCTGGAAGAAACAGCCACCACCACAAACACACTCAGCCACCTAATCTTTGATAAAGGGGACAGAGAGCTAATTCTCAATATTTACTTCTGATGTAGGTAAGAAATTATATTTAGTTTGGAAAATGAGACTAAATATAGCAATCTGAGTGGGGAGTACAGGACTACATTTACTTTGTGTTGGGTGGCTATGTTACCCAACACTGTGAGCACTTTTTTATAAGAAAATGAATGTTTCTTTTGTGGGAGGGTGCCACTTTATGTGGTGTTGAAATTACTACCTTACAAACTGTATTTTATCTCAGGAAGTGATTGGTGTCAAAAGTATTGCTTGTATCAAGATATATGTGTAGAGTGGAGCTTTCACAGTAATATATGGTGCCCTGGTGGTTTATGTTGATGTGTACTGACACAATTTACATCAGCCATTCTTTTTTACCTTGAACTGTAAGGTACAATAGCATTTGGATTTATATTGGTAAAATTTTTAACCAGTTAAGGAGTTACTTTTAACAAATGCACACATGTTTATGATATTCTAGTTCTGTCTGAGAAATAAAGAACAGTATGACTGTGAGAACATGAACCAGTACAGAGCTTCTGACAAGCAGCACTTTTGATGCAACTTATTATTTCTAACAGCCACCACTAAAATGGTGACTTTATGAAGTAAATCAGTGTGGTGACTGAGTACTCAGAATCCAAAGTCACCACTCTGGCTTGAATTCCAGCTCTGCTGCTAAGCACCTGACCTTGGCCAAGGTCTTCAAATTCTGTCTCACTTGCCTAATTCATAAAGGGAGAAAAGCATGGGATGGTTTTAAAGGTTAAATTAGATAATTTAGAGAAAGTACATAGAGTATTAAACTATTATTACTTTAGTGACAATTCTTTACAGTATCTCTGGTCCTTACAATGACCCTTGTAAACTATTTTTTCTCCCAAAAATATAGCTATGGAACTGAGTCTCGTTGATGTTAAATGTCACATTCATGACACAAATTGGGGATAGAAAGGTAGAATTCATTCCACTGTTTTGCTGCCTCAAAATTAAAGCTATTTTTTCTTCCTTTTTAAGGGAAACTTTAAAAGGAGAATACTATGGGAATACTTAAGTCATGATTTTTTTCATGGAATTTTTTTAACCTTAGTGGAACTAACTATTGTATAGTCTATAGAAGGAAACCATTATCTGGCCTCCAAATATGTTTTATAAGGGGAGGAGTAATGTTATTGCTGAACCATAAGTGTAAAAATGTATGCAGTATAGTTAAGCTGGGATTTATTACAATTCAGAGAAATTTAGAGGAATTTTATGAGTATGAATATTACACACTAACTGTGCACATGGATTACTCAGTCTGAGTATTAATTCTAGTAAACCTGACTCTTAAGTTCTGATTAACATCAATACCTATTTTCATTGATTACTTTATGGAGATTATGAGAAAGTATCACTTCAAACTCTTCCTCATACTCTCAAAACCTCTTGTGGCAAAAGTTATTGAAACATGAGCAGTTTCTCACATAACTCTTTCCCCCTCTGTCTGGTTGAGGGCTTACGGGTATTGTAGAAAGTTTGTCATCTTTTGTGTACGTCTGAAGATTTTTAGACTTTCAAAAACCACTCCCACTTGACCTTTTTGCTCAACAACAACTTGATATCTTTGTGCTATCAGACCTCTAGGTAGCTACCATTTGACACTGAGCATAATTTCCATGCTGATAGGCTGTGCATGCTCTGTAGATACCAGGAGGAGGCAACACAAAGTGAGAGTTTCCCAGTGCCTCACATACTCCTATTGTGGCAGTGAAGGCTAAAGACTAAAGGGCTTTAAAAACTAGCTGTGAAGCAGAATGCTCAGGCCCACCAATGAGAAAGCAAGGTCGGATTTTGACCTCATGTGCATGACCTTGTTGGCAATGATCTTCTCCATTCTGCCAGACCCATGAGCTGGTATCCTTGGAATAATCCCTGGCTCTTCCCTATCTTCAAAAACCCTTGCAATGACTAGGTCTTATTTCATTACTTTAAGTCTTCAATATTTCTCCTCCCACCTCTGTTTCCTCAGTCTTACCGATAGTTCTGTTGTTAGAAATTTGGAGCCACATTATTTTTCTCTTTTTATGCATGAATATGCCCTATCGTATTATATTTCCTTCAAAACAAGATTTTTATTTCTGGGTACTACTTTATC